GTTCATGTGGAAAGTGTGTTCAGGGTGTTTTACATTATTTACTGACTCATATTTAAAGGCAAGCCAAATGACTTTATCCACTGTGGAATACAGCCATCTCTGAAATGAGATATAACTGCTGTTTCTGTACTTTAACAATTCTGAACTGGGGCTTGATACCCTACGATGAATTAAAAGACTGCAAGAAAAATGAGATCTTATGGTGCCTACCTGTGTAAAACCGTATGCTCTTAAATTCCCTTTTATGCCTTACAGGCATATATTTGCATATATTTACTTCCAGGCTCATGCATAGAATGCAAAACACAAATTCTCAGATTCAATCATGGGAGACTTTTTAAATGATGCCCTAATGCTGACTGTGATATATGTATGTGTTGTTACACACACACACACACCACACACACAGAGTTGGAGGGAAAGCTAAAAAGTGACTTCCAGCCATGCTGACCTTGTATATTCATGCTTTGGATTTTAACAAATTTCCCAAACCCATGGCAGTCATAGATAAATATAAGAAGGAAAAACGTGAAAAACATAATTGTGCTGGAAAACATTGTAAACATCTCTGTTAGCTAGAAATGAAAAGACAGAAAGTAGTGAACAGGACTGAAGTTGTGCGCTGTAATGTAGGGATCCAGGAAGCAGGCAGAAGCAGTTGGGCGGTCATGTCCTGTGGGGAAACAGAAATGGGAAGTGCCCTACATGAGGGAGAACCTCAGAGAGATCAAGAAAAATATAAAATCCATTTGTTTAAAAAAGTAGTTATTAGAAAAATAAATCGCCCAGAATGAAGCAGTAACAGAGTGATATGAAAACCAATTAGAAATTTTAGAAATGAAACATAAACATAGTCATGAAAAAAACCCTCAGTGGGCGGAATAAATGCTAGTCACGTCAAAGAGAGAATGAGTGCAGCAGAAAAAAAGAGAAAAAGTAATTCACCAAGAAGGCACAGAGAGAGCAAAAAAATAGAAAAAGCCACAGAGAGAGGAAAAAAATAGAAAATGCAATTAAAAAATATGGAAGCTAGATTGGGAAATTGCAGTATTTGTATAATATGTGTTTCAAGGAAAAAATAGAAGGCAGAAAAGCAGATATAACTGAAAATACTCTAGATTTGAAGAAAGACATGAGTTTTTGAATTGAAAGTACACATTAGGTGCTGTCCAGTACTAATTAAAATAAACATATGCCTGGACACCTTGAATTAAGATTGCAAACTGTAGTAGGTATGTTGAAAATTGTGTCATAGGTATGTTGAAAATTGTACAATCTAGCATATAGAAAATAAGGATTCCTTATATGGGAGCCGCTATCAGACTGACATCATAATTTTCATTAGGAACCGCAAATGCCAAAAGTAACATATTGCAACTAAACTAATGTGAGAGAAACATAGAGACATTATGAGACCTGTAAAAACTAGGAGAATATACCACTCACAGATCTTCAGTGAAAGAATAAAGAACAAACTTCAGTTAGAAATAGATTGATTCAAGGAGAAATGAATGACAAACAATAGTGAGCGTAAACATTGTAAACTGTGTTGATAACCTTAATTTTTCTTGCTAAAAATAATGGAAAAAAATTCAACACAATAATAACTGAAATGGTGAAGCCTGTGTAGTGTCTAGTTAAAACATACTAAGTTCTGGTCTAAAGGATGCTGAAGAGAGTTAATACATTAAGACTTTAAAACTATAGTTTTGAATGTATGCAAAAATTCACAGATGATTATCTGAAAAGTAGAAATTCACTCTATAGCATTCTAATTAGCAGAGTAAAATATTAAAATAATTTTCAACTCAGTATGAGGCAGAAAAAAAAGAAAAAGATATAAAGCTTAATGTAACAAAATTTATACTAAGATGCTAGAAGCAGGTCCAGCCATATAACATAAAATTATTAAACTTGGTTCTTTAGGGTCATATTTATAAGACTGGGTGAAACAAAAGAAACCCAATTATATGTGGGCATCTACAACAATACAAAAAATTTGAGAACAAATAATGGAAAAAATATATATGGAAGATTAACAAAAGAAAGCTGGTGTCGCAATGTTCATAGAAGACATATAGATTACAAGATAAAAATCTGATGGAGATGAAAAAGTCACTACTTCTTAATAAGCAGAGTAATTCTTTCAAAAAGTTTTAGAAATTATGAGTTTGTGCACATATAACAACATAGCTCTCAAATATATTAAGGAAAAATGACAGAATTATAAGAAGAGATTATTAAAACCAAAATCATAATGGGAGTTTTTTTTTACCTTATTATTAGAAACTGATGGTTCATGGATATCAAAAATTTTTAAGGCCATAAAAGATTTGAAGAGCAAAATTAACAAGTATGGTCATGATTTTATGTGTTTGGGTACAGAATCTTGCTTTCAACAGATAGAAAACACACTTTCATTCAAGCACAGATGGAGCATTTATAAAATCTGATCATGTTCTAGACCACAAGGAAACTTTACCAAATTTTTTTATTTTATTTTGTTAAAGCAGTTGTGGGTTCACAGCAAATTAAGAGAAATGTACAGAGATTTTCCACATACCCTGACCCCATACCACATGAGCTCCCCCGTTATCAACCTCCCCTGCTAGAGTGGTACATTTGTTAAAATTGTTGAACTTACAATGACACATCATAATCACCCAAAGTTCATAGTTTACATTAAGGTTCACTGCTGGGATGTACGTTCTATAGGTTTTGACAAATGTATAATAACGTATTCATCATTACAGTATCATACAGAGTATTTTTCTCCCCTACAAATCCTCTGTGCTCTGCCTGTTTAACCTTGACTGCCCCCTGCCCAAAACCCCTGGCAATCACTGACCTTTCTACTATCTTCATAGTTTTTTCTTTTCCGGAATGTCATATAGTTGGAATTATACAGTATGTAGCTTTTTCAGATTGTTTTTTTTCACTTAGTAATACACATTTACATTTCCTCCATGTATTTTCATGGCTTGATAGCTGCTTTTTTTTTTTTTTTTTTTTTTTTAGCACTGAGTAATATTTCATTGTCTGGATGTACACAATTTACTTAGTCATTCACCTACTGAAAGACATTTTGGTTGCTCCAGATTTTCACGATTGTGAATAAAGCTGCTATAAACATCCATGGGCAGGTTTTTGTGAAGACAAAAGTTTTGATACCTTTGGGTAAACACCAAGGAACACCATAGTTGGATCATCTAGTAAGAATATGTTCAGTTTTGTAAGAAACTGCCCAACTGTCTTACATGTATTCCCATTACAAAGTGACTGTACCGTTTTGCATTCCAATCAGCAATAGTATTGCTTTACATCCTTGCCAGCCTTTGGTGTTGTAAGTTTTCCAGATTTTGGCCTCTATAATAGGTGTGTAGTGGTATCTTCTTGTTTTATTTGCATTTCTCTGGTGACATATGATGTGGAGGATCTTTTCATATGCTTATTTACCATCGATATATCTTTAGTGAGGTGTCTATTAAGGTCTTTTTGCCCGTTTTTAAATTGGATTGTTGTTTGCTTATTGTTGAGTTTTAAGAGTTCTTTGTGTATATTAGATACTAGTCCTTTATCAGATGTTCTTTTCTCTCAGTCTATGGCTTTTCTTCTTATTCTTCTTACATTGTCTTTCACAGAGCAGAGGTTTTTAATTTTAATGAAGTCAGCTTATTAATTGTTTCCTTAATGGATAATGCTTCTGGTGGGGTGCATTAAAATACCCCATAACCAAGGCCATCTAGATTTTTTTCCTGTTATAGGAATGTTATAATTTTGCATTTTACCTTTATGTCTACAATCAATTTTTTTTTTTTTTTTTGAGAGTAGCTGGGACTACAGGCGCCTGCCACCTCGCCCGGCTAGTTTTTTGTATTTTTTTTAGAGACGGGGTTTCACCATGTTAGCCAGGATGGTCTCGATCTCCTGACCTCGTGATCCACCCGTCTCGGCCTCCCAAAGTGCTGGGATTACAGGCTTGAGCCACCGCGCCCGGTCCTACAATCTATTTTAAGTTAATTTTGTGAAGAGTGTTAAGTCTGTGTCTAGATCCATTTTTTTTTTTTGCCTGTGGATATCCAGTTATTTCACACCATTTGTTGACAAAACTGTCTTTGCACTATAGTATTGCCTTTCATTACATTAACTTTTGTAAATGAAGCTAGGCCAATATATGTAAATATGAATGTAAATATCCAAAATGAATTCATTTATTTCATGGCCGACTTGTGACGTGTGATTTTTTTCCTGGCTGATTAGTCTTGGTGTATAGAAAGCATTCATGTAGCTCACACTTGTCTCCCGCACTCCATCACCTATGTAAACGCTACTGTTATGTCAGTTTAATATCTTTATTAAAGGTTATGCACATGCTGTTGGCACAGTGATGATTTTTCAGAGTTGTCTGTATCTTTACTTGAAAAATACATTGTTGCAAAGGAGTCATTGAAATGAAATCTCATTTAATTTAATAATGCAATTATTTGTGCCCATATGCTACTATTAAGTGAATTAATACTTAAGCATAACAGTCTACTGCTATTTTCTACTCTTATTGTCTAAGTAAGAAGTTTGAAGTTTAAATAAAATAGGGATAAATCAGAAAATTAATGCTGTTGTCCATCAATAAAATAAACCGTAACTATTAAAATATAGAGAATTAAAAGTATAGGTATTTGAAATGATACTCTTTTTTTCTATCCTAAAATTCCAGACATTTTTCTATCCTCAAAATGAATAAAGGAATTGAAACAATGCATCTAGTAGTTGACACAGTGCAATTGAAATAAATGGAAACTTACTTTTTAGAAGCAATAAAACCAGTTACCCAAGGGGAATAGAAAAGTAAATACTAGCAAAGTACATTTTACTTTATGATCAAAGCAATTAAAATATATACACACTGCTTTCCTAGGCAAGGAAGGGCCAAGGGAAAGGGAATGGATCTTTAAAGTTCCTATCTGATAGTTATCTTTAAAAAATTTAACCTTTCTTGGCAGGCTTAGATCCTGATAAACATCTTGGGAAAACCCTGGATCAAATGGAGCCATATCTCATAGAGGTAAGAATTTATACTAGATCTCAAAATACAGTCATCTAAAGGAGAAAACAAAATAATGCCATGATATCATGATTACAAAATGTATTTTATTTTAGAAAACATCAAATACATTTATAGTATATTTATGAAAAAAAAAACTTCAAATGGAAATGAAAATGTTTAAATTATAAAAATTAATTACCAACTTGTTAACCCAAATATAAGACACAGTTATACCTAAAAAGAAATTGCTCTGTCAGAAAGTCTATTTTTATTAAAATGAACACTGTATTCTATATAAAATGTGCTATACTATTAAAGTATCTAATAGTTTGTGTGATCACATGCTTTGTCATCAGAAACAGGAGTAGAAACTTTCTTTAGAGATTAATGTAACCCCTTCTCTTTTACCAATTAAGAAATTGACTTGCAGCATAGTAAAAAAAAAAAATTATCCCAAGATTTCAAATTACTCTACTTAACTTCTTATTGTGAAACCCTAAACATGTTTTAAACATTAAATATTCAGTTGTTTTCATTTACTCTTTCTATTCAATGTACTATATTTTATTAGAGTTTTAGAGCAAATGTTATGTTTAGTATGGCAATGCATCATTAACTAGAATGTTTAATTATTACACTATGTGGGGTATTTATATTCTATCATGATGATGGAAAAAAGAAAATCTCTCTCCTGTGAAAGAACCTATCTCTTTTAACAAGTTATCATTTTCTTGTCCCATGCTCTTAATTCATCAATATTGTCTCTGGGCTGTTTTAATACCATTGCTGTGATATGAACTGTTAGCAGTTACACTTTTCAATACCTTCATGGGTTTTACCTTTTTGGGGGAGTTATTTGTAATTGATTATTTTATGGTTTATCAATCAATATGTACCAAATGCCTAGAAATCTCTGAAATGTTATTTTTTTAGTGTTAATTCCTTAATAATTATTATTAAGCATCTAGTATATTCCAGGCAGATAGTAAAGATTAAAAGAAAAATGAAATGATTATATAATTGTGACAAATTGTATTTGGTTTCTAGATAATTTGGTGTCATTTATTTAAGTCAATTTATGGAACATGGTTGCTTTCTATGCTTATCTGATAGGACGTTTCTCACAGCAATTTGTTCTGTAGCTCCATTATATCATGTTTACATCTGTTCACGGCCATCAGACTAAATTTAGCTTCTACCAAAACATTGTATAGATTTATGGAAATGAAAGAAAAATTCAGAAGTGAGAGACTGGCATTAGCCAAAGTATTGGCCAAAAGAGCTATTTCCAAAATTTGAAGTCATAAGTTTAGATTTTAAGTGTGTTGATATTCTTTGTAGAAAAGGGAAACAAGGTTTTGAGAAGCACCATGATGTTGATTATGAGTTAACCTTCGTATTACCATAGGATGTTTAAACACAAAATGCAAAATTCATTTTATTCAATGATTCTTTAGCAAGTTCCTCAACTTGCTCTGGCAATCTTACATTTCCCTAGAATTATTTTCTACCCATTCTCCATAATGGCTATTTTATTCCTTCTCCACGGTCCTAAAATTTAAAATCCCTTCACCTTACCCCTTACTTTAAGTGGATGACGCATCTTCCTTCACAGAGGAAATAGGAGCCATGATATGAGAAATCGCACTGCCTCCCTCCCAACTCCAACACCACCCCTACTAATATCCCTGTACCTACACCTATCCTTGCTTACTGTAACTGGGAGAAGTATTCTTTCTTCCTTATATGGCTAAGGCCCTACCTGTGCTTGGATCCCATTCACACCTGCCTTCTCAGAGACATTGCAGTCAACCCACCCCCTCGACTGTCTTCATTCTCAGTCTCTTTGTCTCCTTCACATCAATATTGGAACGTAATACAGACTGTCCCATCCTAAAGACCCCCTTTCTCCACCCTAGTTTTTCTCCGACTACCTCTCTTTCTTCTTTGCTTCAAAACCAAAATATATAGAAGTGTTATCTGTATTCATTGTCAGTACTTCTTCATGTCTGAGATTCCTCAAGTACCTGGAATCTGTCTTCTCATTCTGCCTCTAAACAGATACAGCTGTGACCGAAATCACTCACGATACCCATTTTGCCAAACACAATAGATACTTCTTAGTCCGTATTTCCCAGTTACAGACGCATCTTGAAATGCTTCCAGTTACATTGACGGAACCACACTTTCCTCGTTTTTCTACTTTCATTCTGGATAGTCCTGCTCTTTTACTGATTCCTAGTTTAGACTCCATTTTCCCTCTAGAAACTTTTTCTAGGTAATCTCAATCGCTCTCTTGACTTTATTAGCTATATTCTGATGACTCCCAAGTCTTTGTGGTCCATATTTATCAGCGAAACTTCAGTGCCCACAGATACCACAAATTCAATCTCTACATACTCGATGGTAGCCTTGATATCCATCGTTTTTTGCCATTCCTTTTGTCATCACCTTAATTCAGATGCCTGTTACTTCAGGCCTAGTATAATACTGACACCTCCATATTTGCCTCTACCTTCTATTTTATTTTCCAAAGAATTCTGTTTGCTTCTTGCCCCAAGATAATCGTTCTAATATATTCTACTGTATTTGTGTCACTCAATCAAAACTTTAAATGAGTCCTCATTGCCTACAGGCAAAAATCCAAATTCTTTAGACTCCTCTTTCCCTCACCTGCTATATCTAACTCATTAACATGATCTTGTCTGCTCTATTTCCAGAATATATTCTATTATAACTCCAAGCTCTTCTCACTGTCTCTACTACTACCACCATACCATAATCACCTCTTGTCTGGAATACTACCTCAACCTCTAACTGGTCTGCTTACTTCCACCATTGCCCTGCCGTGATCTGTTATTTATATAGATATCAGAATGATATTTTTCAAGTATAAATCAAATCATATCCCTACTTTGTTTAAAATGTAAGTGGGTTCTTACTGCAATTAGAATAACATCCAAACAGCGATAGATCACAACTTGTGAGAGCCTATATGATCAGCATCCTATCCATCTTTTCAGGCTCATCTTCCACGGTTCTCCCATTCTCTGTCTCATTCCCTTAGCTGTAGCCGCATAGTTCTCTTTATTACTTAAACATGCTTTATTCACCCTTTTTCTCATTAGGACCTTCCCCTGCCTGAAATGTTTTGTCCACAGACTATCACTGGTTAATACCTTCTCATTATTTAAATGATAATTTAAATGCCACCTCCTCAAAGCAGCTTTCCCTGACTACTCTAGCTAAAGCAGATCTCTGCAAATTATTTTATGTGTTCATCTGTTCACATGTATATTATCTGCCCTGTACCATTAGAATGTAAGCTCCAATAATCTTGCCAAGATTTTGGCAGACATTAGTTCTTTAGTTCTTTCATTCAGTAGCTTTTCATCTCTCTATCTATTCATTTGTTCATCTCATTTTTAAATTACTGAATATTTGTTGAGGATCTATTATATGACAGATGCTATGGTGAACACTAAGTATACATGAGGAGTTAAACAAACAAGATACTTCTTGAAGAGTTTACAATTTGCTATAGTTGTTTTCAGACCTGAGGGTGTAATTCACTGGAAACCTTCTTAAAAATGCATAAATTCTTTTTCCATCCCCACAAATTTCTGCTCAGAGGGACCAGGGACCAGAAATCTGACCTTCAAACAAGCACTAGGTAATTCTGTCACATTAATACAGTATGTAATCTAGTTTCTCAATACCACTAACACATTTCAGCTCCTGTCTTTCTAGATTTCTCTGAAAGAGTATGTTCCTTCTTGAAACTGTCATCCATTGGCTTCTGTAAGGCTACTCACTCCTGAAATCTTCCTGAGTACTTCCTTAGCTTTCCTTTGGGGCTTTCTATGTATACTCCACCTTTTATATATTGTGGTTCCCTTCATAGCCTTCCTCCTGTGGTGATCTGAAATAGTCCCATGACATCAACTACGAGTTTTATTCTTGTAATAACTAAGTCTGTTTCTTCAACATTGTCCTGTGTTCCAGACATGTATATGTATTCAGCTGTACCCCCACACTGTCATCTATTAAACGTCCCCAAGCCCCTCAACCTCAACAGCAGAACTAAACATTTCTTTCTTATCTATGCCATTTTTATGTTTCCTGACACTGAAGGGCTGGCCCCATTGTCTGCTCAGTTGTTCAAGCCAAAAAAGGAAATTGTAATAAGTAACTTCATATACTCCTTTGTTCCTAAGAACCTAAGTTCTTTTAATTCTACCCTTCTTAATATCTTACTATTTCCTCCCTTTTATCCTCACAGTCACCACATTGGCATCTCCTGTAGATTATTGCAGCAGTCGTCTAGCACCGTATCTCCTCCCTGTCTTGCGCCTTGTCAGTCAGTAGTCCAAAGTACCATCATGATATATATGAAATGCAAAGCTAATCATATCATATTACACTTTCCTTATAGACTTTGGAGTTGCTCCCCATGCTTCAAAATAAAATTTCAACTCCTTACCCTGACACAATCTGTCCTTGGGGGAAAATGAGGCTTGTAAGATAGGTAGTCAATGGAATAACTCCCTATGCTTCATCAATTTTGAACTATCAGTGGTTTCCCTACAGTGAATATCTCTTCCTACCTCCATGTTATCCTTCCCTTTCTGCATGTGTTATCCCTTCACCACTCTGCTAAATCTCTCTTTAAAATCTCAATTCAAAGCTCACTACTGTGAGGTTTTCTTGCTTAAATAAGCTTTCTTTGAGCTGCTATTTTTCTTGTCTCATGGCATGTAATATTTATCATACTATTTTTTCTTTTAAATAGTGTATATTAAATATAAAATTAAAATGTAATATGTGAAAAATAAATTCAACACAATAAAATAATGAAAAGTCTTCCAGTGACACCAAGCCCCTAGTTTTTCTGTTCTTTCCCAGAACAATCACTCTCTTCTGTTCTATCTCTTTAGAAATATTCTTTTGCATATAAAAATATATATGCATGTGTTTATTCATTTTTATCTAAATTGGTATGTGCTATAAATATTACT